CGCCGCCCGAGTGCGTGGCACCAGGGCGCAGGGCAACGCGCCCGCCGGTTTCCGGGACACTTGGGGACGCGCGAGGTGGCCTGGGGCGGGCGCGCAATGTGGTTCTTGTTAGGCGCTGTAGCCCGGCCTCTTTCGGCTTTTGCTTTTGCAGCCGCATGATAATATTAGATGCAGCTTGATTCCCGGATAAGCTCGCCCTTGTCGCTGGCTGCTGTGTTCCACGGACACACGCGGGTCGGAGGGCGCGGGCGGCGCGCAGCGGGGTCCCCGCGCTCCACGGTGGCCGGGCCCGCGCCTCCCGCCTCCCGGCGCTCAGACTTGGCGACGCCAGCCCGGCTCCCACCAGCTCGCGGGCGGCCCGCGGTTGTTTTCCAAGACCTTATCTCTCGCTCGAATCTATTTTCTTTCTTTCCTTCTTTTTGAAAAATTTGATGACAAAGGAAAATCTTTTGGAAAAGCCAAAGGCGACCCCAAATCGGGGCACTTCACTGCCCTGGTCCCAAAACACTGGTAGCGCAGGTAGTGACATCGCCCCTCCGCCAAACTTCCCCAAACTTTGCTTTCTTTGAAGTGAGCTGAAAAGTGATCCCTCCCTACAACTGGGCATCAGACGGTGGCGCGCAACTAGATTTGGCACGGGCGTTTCACCTGGGGCTTGAGAGACCCACAAGAGCGCGCGGCAATCCTAGAAGGAATTAGGGCCGGGTGGCGGCGGGGCGGGGGAGAAAGAGCTGCGAAGCCATAGTAGTCTCTAAAAGCACTTGGCTAGTGCTTTCCTAGCTGTGCGCCACCAGAAGCGTAAGAAAATAGACAGGTCCTCGGAGAGACCCAAAGCAGGGAAAATAAACCTCGTGTTGGGTTTGCCCAGCCAGCCCCCAGCCACCTCTTCGCCTCGCCCTGTCTCCACAGTCCTGTTACAATCCCAAAATCGGTTATCTGGTTTCGCGGTAAGGGCTCCCTCTTGCCAAGGTACTAAATAAACACAGAAAGCAAAAACTCGAATCCTTATGCGATCCAGATGCTGATTCCTAGAAGACCACAACAAACTGCAGGCACCCCACCCCACCCCGCCTCCAACACGCTCCACTTTCAGGGCCAGCAGAGGACGTGTGTGTCCGGCGGCTCCTCCCCGGACAGACGATAAATAACCGCCTCTAACGCTCCCCGCTGCAGAGGCGCGCCCTCCGGGGATCCGGATGCCGTAAGCTGTCCGGGAATGCTGGCATCTGGTTCTTAAAATGGAACTTTCCCTGGAGATAAAGCCAGCCGAGGAGGAGGCGGCGGTGGCCGCGTCGGTCCAGCTGCCTGGAAGTTTCTAGCCTCTGAAGTGCTCAGGCGAGAGGCTGCTTTGCACGGGCGCTCGTCCCGGCCCCGCTTTGTAGTGGTAATGAGGGCGCGCGGCGGGCTGCGCGTTGCGCCCCGCGCGGGGGACCCGGCTGCGCTTTCCTCGCCTCCCCAAGGCCAGGGGTGGGGGTGACGTTTGCTGTCCTAGAAAACTCTCGCGGGGGGGGGGCTCTTACGCAACCTCGAGGCTCGGAGGTGAAGGACAGTATGGAAGAGGGGAACTGGGCTTGGGGGTGGGGTGGGGTCCTTGAAAGGTATTTTTAGGAGTCCAGGATCAAAGCTATCGCAGGGAGGACCCAGAGGATCCAAAGGAATAAATCAATCTCACCCGCGCGGAGCAAAGAGTGACCTCCTTCCCTGCTCCAGCCCCACCCTGGACGCCTTCGGTTGCAAAAACAAATGAAATAAAGCAAAACCTTTTGCTTTGGCAACGCCGAAAGCCACACTGCGCCTCCCTGTTTTTTTTTTTTTTCCTCCCAAAAGGAAGATTTTTTTTTTTCTTTCTCTCCAGTCTCCCCCGACCCCCGCCTCCCTCTTCTTTTCTTCCCTCTCCCCACATCGCGGGAAACCTAAGACGCGCGGCGGCTGCAGGTGCGCGCGGGCCGGGCCTCGCAGGCATTGATCCGCCGGGCGCGCGCGCTGAGTGACGGCGCGGTTGCCATGGCAGCCGCCGGAGCGGCGCCGGGA